TTACAAGGATTGTAGACTCGAACAGTGGATTATACCTTTGACTAAGTTGATGTTTCGCTGTGATCTTAATGATAAAAAACCTGACTCAGGTGTTCAGTGATATGATTTAAATATTGTCCGCTTTATAACCGACAAACTGTAATAACTCAAATGTATCCATGAAACGTTTGTGAATTGCGGATGGAATAATAAATGTTAAAAATTCAAATTGTTACTGTGACCGCTGTCTCAAAATATTACCGAAATAAAAAATTGTCATAACTCAGATTAATCCAGCAGAATCTACATCTCAACTAAGGTATGTTTTTTAGCTGCTTATTTTCACACTTTGTCCATTCACATAGGCATATAAGTGTTATTCGCACCATTGTTTCTCCAAAAACTAACTCTAGTAGTTATATTGGCTGTGCTGTGTATTAGTGGAAAACATATGTTTCAGTAAATTGCTGCATAATATGCAAATTATCCACTTGGTAATTCGTAACTTTGTTATTTTCGTCCTGGACATGTTAACTTAAAGTGACATAAATTCATTAAGTAAAACGAAACAAATGCTTTTTAAAGGTATTAGTTATCACTCAAAGTGAAGACGAATTTGCATAAGTTTTAAGACGTGTTATTATTTTAGCAAGTTGTGAATATATATGTATGTCACTTTAGTGAAGAAAACAAAACTAAAAGGTTCCGAATGCATAAGCGAACTTCTGTTATATACATCCGTTCTTTAGCACATACATAAAAGGTGAACGAGAGCGAATTTCTAGTGAAACACTAAATCTAGTAGAAATTGTCGTTATTTATTGAGCATATGATTATCATCATGCAACATTTACACAAAAACAATGTGATGACTAATATCTAAAGTATACGCAACTAAAGTGTTCAATAAATGCTATGTTTATACAAAATTGATGACGTAGGTCAAACCTTGACCTTTGCTAGAGCCTGATTATATAAAATGAACACCAAATTACTGAAATAACTAACTTTCTGATGAAGTATGAAACCATACACTAGTCATACCTTACTTTTATAACAACCAGAATGTTTTTTTTCCAGCTATCGCATAAATGAAAAGCTTACCACTGATACGCTTTCTTCAGTCTCACTAGCCCTAAGGAAACCACTGCCTATCTGCAGTAAAATTTTAGGGGAATACAGCCTATTTTTCTAAAGGACTCTAAATGAATGATGTAAATGTTTTCAAAATTCATTTCGTTAGTTTTGAATGGGTTTTCAGAACTAAAAACGTACTTCCAAAATAAAAGGACGTTTTGTCCACCTCTTCATAGGATATCTTCATTAGTTTCCATTACTGTAAGGAGTAAACATCTAAATGGGATGTGAAACAGTCGCTTCTTTATTTGAAAATGAAACTCACTGACTAGTACTGATGTTTTCACTGGACATAGTATAAACAGATGCTATATTGGTAAAAGTTGATAAAAGAATACTACTCACTTCACTCATCATGTGAGTGCATAGTGTTTTCAAATTATGCACTGTAACAACATCACCGGCTTCGGTTTATCAGAAAATAAGCTAGTTCGCTAGAGTGTATGCATATGGCGGTCAAAAATCAGCACATGTGATTTTTATAGTATTTAATTTTTTGATATTTATGAAAACTGTATATTAAACCAGTCAGGAATCACCATTCAAAGCTATTATTATGATATATGTATAAAAAACAACTCTGAAACAAATATCCGACTAGTTCATTACATCCTTACCAACTAATTATCTAATTTACATACGGGTTGATTCCATTTCGCTATGTTTCTTATAAACTTATTAATGATGGCATAAAAAGATTTCCTTGCTTTATTGATATACATATTCATTTCTGAATTACTGTTAAACAGATTTATGGAATTTATGCAGTCCTTCCTCTAACTCTTTATCTTAGCACGTCCCTGTTTTAACATTAGGTACTTTTAATTGAACAAAGTAGTTTTCATGGAAGTAATCACTCTGATCTATTTATTACAGTATTATTAACAAACCTCGTGTCCATAACCAGATATGACAATTTTATAATTACCTTAGGCTGCATCGATTATTTGTTCATTCAGATTTTTGTTCTGTTTTACTATACAACCCTGAAACATGACAGATGAGGGTAGAAAACATCTGAAACTTCTAGTTTTTAGCTGTGTAACTTCCTTATACTAGCAGTTAAAAATGTTACCGTAGAGACAGAAGTGATGAGACTAGACATTCATTTATGAATAAAGAAGTTAAGCTAGTCTGCGGAATTGTAAGCCTGTCAAAATTGAGGTGACTTCTATGTGTTACTTATATTAAACAACTTCATGATCTGAAATTCAATATTAGGCAGAGTAATAATTTCCAGATGCGAAAAGATAATAGTGCTGGGAATTCATTAAGATCATCCTCTATTAAGTCAGTGACTGCTGTTAAGAATGATGCATTTAAGTGTCTGAAGGTATTGGGAAATGGCAGTTGCAAATCATCAGTGAAATGGTGCAGGTTCGTTTCACTTTTATTTTCTTCAAGAACCTGAAAATCATGAGTAACTAATTACTTGTTCAGTCTCTTCTTATATAACCTACGGTCTCATTTATTGTTTTTCCATCTCATTTGGTTTTCATGTTATGATGATGCAGCCTATGAAACCAAACGATAGTAAGTGCAACCTTATAAAAAAGCAAGGTAACAAGTATACTACTTTTCAGTATTAAGTAGTAAACCGCTAAAAACGTCAAAGAAGTATCATGACGGTAGCAAAGCCATAAAACAAAGACCATGTCTACCAGAATTCATAAAAACACTTTCGAAGGAATTATTACTACTCGAAAGCAGAATAGAGAACAGATTATCTTAAAAGATAAATCTTCCTGATTTCCTGTTCATCTGTGTTATTATTTTGTAGCTTTAATAATTGTAAGTTGCCTAGAATTTATATCTTATTGGTATTAAGTATAGGATCGGAAGAAGGTAAGCATGTAGATATTTGCATTTGTTTGCTAGACAGCAGTAGCCCCCTCTTATGTCTTACCTGGTAATAATAGGTAAAATTATCAGAAAGAAATATTTGTCAGAGGCTTTCAATGTCAATGGAAGGATTTTTAAACAAGGAATGAACCTGTACCTTCAAGATGACCTACGTAATCCATTTTACGTATCGTATCAGGTTCACTCCCTCCTAATCTGGTTTAATTACCTAGTTGTGTCTTTTAATTAAATAAAATACTCTCAAGATTTTATAAAACGTTATCAGCCTATCGTCATGAATTTAGCTTACGAAATAATGAAGAGAAATAAAAACGGAAGGGAGTACACTTCAAAGCAAACACAACTTCATAAAATGATTGTACATAAAAAAGTCAGCTGCAACTACAAGTCTTTATGTGGCATAGTGAGCTATTTGCAATCCACTTCATGAACAATGTTAGTGGTTGCACTGGTGTGATACCATAATAAAAACTCAAATATTTATAATCTAACAGTGGAGAATGACAAATACATTCGCACTTACTCTTATAGTATTGCAGTCAGCATGAACAGTTGCAGACACCCAAAATACTTTGCTATTCAGTTATGATGGTGTTGTATTTTCTGAGTTGGGTGGTTTATTCCTGGAGCTGTTATTGTCATTCTAGACAATATCATCAGCAAAAACTTCAGAAAACTGATGATATTGTCTAGAATGACAATAACAGCTCCATGAATAAACCATCCAACTCAGAGAACACAATGATTTCAAAATTATCCTCCTGAGCTTCAAATATTTTCAATCGTTTCAAGTCAGTCACCACTCATTTTTCCTCTAGTTAAACCGTAATTAATTGATGTTGTACTATTTTTAAGGATGAGGGAGTGAAGTTAAGGAATAACGACCGAATTCAACGAATGAGCCAGTAATCTTGAGCAACCAATCACTGTGCAACTGGGCTAACTTATACGCTACTAGCAATGAACGACGTGCGTCTACAGCGTTAGCATTTTAATCCAGATACCGTTTTTGGTATTGTTTTGATGACAGACTAATTGGAGGTCAGAAAATCCAGTAATGCGTTGAAAACATGACTATCAAGCATTATAAGGGAGCTGATAGTGGCTACATCTTCAGATGTTCTGTTTTTCACAATAAAAAATTTGTTCCTGGTGGTATTTTTTTCTTGTTTCGTTAACTTATCATAAACCATCTTTTTCTCTCAATCTAAATTGTGCTTAGAAAAATTCTATCTGCATGCCGCGACTGGGTCTTGTAAAGACCTGTTCGAACAACTGGGTTTATCAAAAGAGTCGAAAACAGAAGCGCTAGTTTTGTCACTCCAATTTTACAGCATTCAGTTATTCGTGGAACAGTAATTCATGAGAACCCATGATATCCCTACCAAGCACGAAGCATACTTGGCTATATGCATCTTACATTTAGTCATACCTCTGAGTTCGTATAAATTTCGACAAGAAAATATTCAAATGTTATCAGAGCGCTTCAATCACAATTCAAAGACAGAATAAGAGCAGTTCATGTACTAAAGATGAAATGACCTACAGCCATTTAGATGGATTTATGTGCCGAAGTTAGTTTTACTTGTACAAACCAGTGTAAAACTGGAACACATTTATTCAAAATGTCGCTAAAACTGTCCTACGTAAGTAGTTTCTGCATTTATTATCCGTTTATCGTACATATTATTACCTTTCTATGCCCCAGCATTCTGATTGGCCGTTCAAGGTAATTAATGCTCTTGCTGAACTTGGTTGTTATTCTTTAACTTTGCCTTTATGTGAATGAAGTACAATTAAGTAGTTAGCAGTTAGAGTTTGAAGGAACTGGCCCGCTTAGAAGGCATCAGAAGAATATCTCCTAAGAAAAAAGAACTTAGAGAGGTATTAAAATAAAATAATGAATGTGGGAACTGACATTAAACTGAATTTTCAATAGGCCTACCCATTTTCAATAGCCAAAATCTTTCAATTTATATTATTATTACTATTATTCACACATCTGTTTTTATTTCTGTTAGTTTCAGATGAAAAAATTTCCTATGGATGATCAGTTTGCAACAGCATGAATACAAGAGACGTACAAGATTTGAGTCGCAGCAACTTCCACGGTAACAACAATTTAGGTAATAATCCGTTCTACAATTTTCCGACTAAAGACACACCACTGAATGTCAGTCATACTTCTCCACTGGACACAATATTTGATATAAAATCATTTAATTAATAAAGTTTCAAAAATATGGTTGGATTACTGTTTCTGTCTTTAATAACTTTCAGACATTTTTTTACTTGGTGACAAAAAATACCAGTCTTCACATCAATAATATTTTTGATTTTTTTCACATCTTTTGCAATAATGAAATAATTTGCATCATATCTATTTGAATTGAACTGCTCAGTTAAAGCATTATCTCTAGTTGTTTTTTAAGCTAGAAGTGTACCTGGCTATTGTTCTATTATATTATTATTTCTAACTTCACTATGCTTGGAATAAATTTGAATTCTAAACGTGTAAAATGAGGCAGTTGAAGAAAACATTATCATGAAATATTCATTGTGTCGAAAATTTACAATTTTTTTCATATGCAGAATTGGGAACGTTTTGTCGAAATCAGACTGAGAGGTCCCAAATGTCACTCTACTCATTTAGAACGGCTGCACAGTTTGATAACCTAAATTTTATTAAGGATAGACACTGATAAATACCTAGCTGTTTTGGGAGTTACTGAGAACTATGAAAAAGTGTTAAACAATATATCCTGCGTACGACTCTCAAAGAAGAGGGTAATGATTAGAAAACTTCTCAAGTAGGTAGAGAGGTAAAGTGACGGAATAACATGGCAGTAGAATAGTAAAATTTGAGAACCAGTTGCAGTCCCAAACTAAATCTTGAGATGTGGCTGGTGCGGTATCTTTAATTTCAATATCTCGAAACGTAGCAGTGCATGCTTCAAGAAGAAGATGACTTAAGGAAATTGTCTACAGTAGGAACTGGATTCTGATAAAGGATAATGACACCGTTTACAGGATAGATAGTTTAACTTGCCCACTAGTCTTGAAACATTTTGTTCAGACAACAAGACAGTGAAATTACAAATCCGTAAGGTATATGGTCGACATCTAACAAAGCAACTGAAATACTCTTAGACGGAATAATTTAAAGTATCAGAAATCACCACAAGTATCTTGTCTGCGTTCAGTTCGTGCAGACATTTGATAATAATGTTTTAGTAAATAAATATTACAGTTGCACTAAACATGTGCATAAAATGAGGAAAACAGCGACAAATGTCTGCCAGTGGTAGTAGCCTATGTAACTTTTAGGACTGGCCTAATCAAATTCCATAATAAATCTTAGATATCAAAGTTACATAGAATGAGTAAATTGTTTAGAAGGTTACGCCGGATCCAACCATTCTGATAAATATGAAGTTACTAATTTTATGGTTATTCTGTTTCACCTATACCTAGTTTGAAATCTCTGCCTTGTTTTGAAAAACAGATCAAACAGAATATGTCCCAATAAATTAGACTGACCGATTAAACCAGCTGAATGATTTACACACCTTTCGCTGACGACCTCTTTTTTGGATTAAATGATCTTAAGATTGACTCTGTACTTTCAAAACTATTTTAAGGTTGAATAGCATCTATAAACGTTGGACGTCTCACAGACACAGGTTACAACAAACGGTTTTAAGTGGTTTTCAAGCTTGGTAGCCTTTGTCCAATTCGACTGAATACAACTTAGTATTGGTGAAAAAATATGCAGCATTCCTCAGTTTAATGGAAATAAAATACATGCAGCTGAAAAATGTGCCTGAGAACGCGGTCATTACAACTTGCCAGGCAAACTGGATCGCGAGTTGAAAAAATTCATGCCCAACTAACTTAGTGTAATTACTTAGTGTGTCTTCTAATGAACTCAATGTTTTTAAGATGGTTTGAGGCTTTCGACAGGAAGCCCTCATCCTAGCTTTTGTACCTGTTAGCATTCATCACCAAGTGTATCTGCAACCTAGAGAGAATCTGTGTAATCCCAGAGTTTCAAACCTGCACCTGTCAGCTTAGTACTCAGCCACTCAACCACTGAGGTGCTAGTACTACGCTAAATGTAATGCTTGGTCACTGCCAGTAATCAATTTAATTTTGTATAGCCCTATGAGCTGACTGAATTCTATTGAATGTCAACAGGTATGAAACTTCAGTCAGGGCTACTTGTCAACTGCCTCCAACCGTCTAAAATCAATCAAAATGTACAGTGTTCCACAGCCTCCTGTCTAGGGGACGAAATTAGAAAATGATTCGTAGAGTTTGGTCAGCACATAGACGCAAATAAAATTAGTTATTCTCCAGTGACTAATCAATTAACTCTATAATTATTCTACGGTATCGCATGCTTACAGGCACACATGCTGTACAAGTTTAGTAAAATAAAAAAGTTTTCTCATTTGTTGGTGAAAAATGATATTGATTGCAGAGTTTTCTGAAAGTGATCAATATAAAAGTATAGCCAAATATACAAGTTATCTATAAACGACAATCCTTAATTCAATAAATGACAATGAACAAAAGATTCTTTAAAACGTTTGAAGCAGTTTTTCTGAAGTTTTAAGGAAGAGGTGAGTTCTTATAATTTGTTTTGCTTAGCTATATGTTTTATATGGCTCAGATATAACCCTCATCATACTCTTGGTTTAAAAATAACTGGAACGAAGTGTTATTACTATTACCATATACTCTTCGACTCACTGAATCTGTTGAACTGTTAAATTCTTTAAAGCAAAGTTTTAATCATTATCGAAATAGGCTGGTTTAAAATTTACAAAAACTGTTGCTACAGGATGTTCAGAAGTGGACCTTGAACATTTTATCGGCTAAGACAATATTATTACTTGCATATGGAGCGAAAGTTCCTTCAATAGAATTTTTTTCCACGCATAATTTTCAGAACTTCAGACAGACTTACTTGACGCATTATCTTCGCACAATGATCTTGAGAGAATCTTGTGTATCACCCACTGTCTACTTCATATTTAACTTAGCTCGTTTGAACAATATTTGGCTATCAGTACAACTATGTTGCAGATTTTTATCACTCAATTCTTAACTGTGTGCTGAAAATCAGATTTCACAGCATATATTCTAAGCAGTGCAGAGACGAATATTCTAAACTTAAAGAACGAAATGCTTGCTTATGGGCTGTCGTCGCATATTCAGAACTCAGCTGAGTAGACTCCCTGCACATTTTCTCATTTGTTTCTTTGCTGAACATTGTCTTAGAAAAATTGGTTCCTCACTAAGAATCATCACAAAGAACTGAACTTGAAGGTAGATACTTCAAAAACAAACTTGCGAAAAGTATATCTGCCATATTCTTGAGAACGCTAAAACGTCTAAATCGAAAAGACATCAATAGATTAGTAAGATGGCATCCTATCAACAGTAAACGTACGACTGCCATCACTTAAAGTAAGCGTCAAACAAATTTCATCTTACAATGTCTTTCTTTATTCGGATTCCATTCAGATAATTGATTTCATCCTCTCGCTGTCACTTGTCATGGCTGGTTAGAACTAACTAGTTTTTTGAGGATGTCTGGCGTAATACTCAAACGTATGTTGATATGAAAAGGAGTTCAGATAACAACTCAGTTTCAACATTCACAACCTGAGTAACAAATATTTTCAATGGTTTCTAGATCATCTTGGCGCAAGGTACTTCTAATTGTTTAGTAATGGGAGACCTTCACTAGAATACAGGCTCCACCCCACAATAACTGTTCTTCCTGGATGAATGCCTATGATGACATACCTTACCAGCTAGTTTGAAGTAAAAACCACCAGTCAACACACTAAGAGTTTGGAAAATCCAATAGAAAAGTCGACGAGAAATGCTTCATGTAGTGATCTCAAAACCTCATAGCAGGTTGTGGAAGTACCAACCCAAGAAAAGTAGTAAAATTAACTATTTACAATCAATTCTGAAGAAAGTGGCCTTCAACACATTGACCAAAGCTATACTCATCATGATGAAAAGAAAATGAGAGGAGTGTATATAAATTCAGTTACGAAACGGGAAAAGACATCAGTTACACCAAATAACAAAGTCTGATGGGGTACATTTGTGAACCTTCCTTCCTGAGTACTCCTACCTTAACAAAAAGCTGTTAGAAAAAGGGATTGAACTGTAACCTAAGCAATGTGATAGACTTAGAATATTTTGCAGTCAGAGAATCGTAAGTGAAGCCTGCAGTATTTACAAGTGATAAACACCAATAAATTCTTCAAACGAAAGTTCAGCTGATGAGATGTGACCCTAGGAATTGTGAGTTAGGTTACAATGACTCAAGGGTGTTAAAATTACGCAAAAAAGAGGAAGTTACTTGAAATCTACCACCAGACAAATGATGGATGACTGTCAACCTACGCAAAACTGAATCTACCGGAAAAAAATGAAACAACAAACAGAAGAGTCAAATCCAACCCCATCAAAAAGCTAGAGAATCAAATGTGGAACAAGTTGGACAAATTTATAAAAGAAAGTCAAATCAGAAAGATAGGTAGGCGAATAGTGAACCCAAATGGATCAATAATTCCATGATATTTTAAGAGACCAAAGAGCCATAAAACAGACGTGCTTCTACGACCAGTTGTGTTGTTTCCAAGACCTCTAACTTATCAAAATACTTAGAAAAAAACTAAGTTGTCTTATCAATAAATCAGTCAGCTGAAATAAGTTAGCAACCTAGTTCTTGAATAAACCATACTTATCAAATTTTGTGGAGACTTAAAAACCATCTTTCCCAAGGTCGAAGCCTGAGTTTGTAAGAGAACACAATACATTCATATCTTAAACTAACGACGACATATGATCTCATACAAGTATCAAAACTCTCAAATTAATAGATCTTTGCTTATCAACATACTTGGAATTCAACAGAAAGATATATGAACAAATGTAAGGAACCTTAATCTGATGACCTGCTTCATGGATCACCGTAGAAGCAGTACTGTAGTAAGTGAATTTGATAATCCTACCAGTCATCTAGCCAAGATTGTTATTG